TTACCCTAGACTTAGTGCTAGTGGCGTGCACGCCGAAAGATGAGTTTGGTGGCCGTAAGTCGATTTTTTAGGCTGTTTTAAGACCCTAACTTCGTACCTCTGCATTACCCTTATTTCTTACCCAAAAAGCATGTAACCTAGTTCATTAGATAGCCTGATTTCTGAAGTTTATCTGTATTTAGTTTGGTTACTGTCAGGGTTAGGGTTAGCTAGCTGTTTAAAGCTAAAGATAGTGGGTCTGGGGGCCGAATTTTCCGGCCTCCCTATCTGCGCACCAGAGCCAACCCACGCGTGCCCGCGGGTGAGATGATGTCGGAAGGACTGTGAGGAGGGCTGACAGAAGCCCACTCAAATTCAATACAAAGTTGTCCAAACCACTCTCAAGCATTCCAACAAGGCCTCCAGGCACCCTACTGCTACCTGACCCATTTGATCCACTAACCTTCAGAAGGTGTTTTGTAGCTGCCGCCAGATTGTAACTTACGAGAAATATATGTTTGTAATTAGAGTATGTTGGTTATATTTAGGAAATTTAGATAAAATACTGTATTTCTATATCTGGTTTTTCCTTATAATAGATAATATGTAAAAGGGTGTAGACCAAGAATATTTAATTACCGTAGGAATAGCTTTAAAAATACATAAACTAAGTATAAATAATTGACGACTTTATAGTAGAGGTATATATATGTTTCGGGATCTATAGTATTGTATTACTTCTCTGCCCGGGCCTTTAAGATTTAGGCCCTCTAAAGCTCTTGATATCTAGGTTAGATACTGAGATTTGAGAGTAAGGGCAAGACTACTATTATATACTATTCCAAACTGTTCTAGATATGGGATCTTGGCTAAATTTTTAAGTCTTATATTTCGGCTTATTTTTTTTAAGTTAATTTATAAAAAGATATAACGTGTTTTTTTTTAAGAATTATACCGCTGTATTACCGGGCCGTAAGTAATACTTAAGATCTTGTTAAATTATTAAACATATTACCAAAGCGCAGTATATTTATTAGATTAATGACCGGGGAAGTAATAACTCTGGGAGACTTAAAATTTTTAGAGATAACATATTAAGGGGATAGAATTAATGGTCCGGATAAAGTCCTTAAGCCTCCAAAAATCGGCGCGTGTTTTGCAACAGATATAAGGTTTAAGACAGAGAATGTAAATGCATTATTTCTTGATCTTATGGACATTGATACTGATTAAGACAGGAACACCAGGATTGCTACACGGGTAAGCGAGTTCGTCAACAGATAATAGGAAATATGCTAACCAATGGAGTCTTCTCTGCACTTGCTGGACACGCACAGTATGTAATTATAGACAAAGACCTTCAAGCAGACCCACAAATAGTAGAAGTGGATGTCCGCGATGAGCAATGGGTAAACATTGTGTTTCACCGTTGCATGGCACATGCTATTGAAATTATTGTAGAAATATCTTTATTAAGCTACCCGTGATCTTGTAACCACGTACCAGGCTGCTCCGTGCTTGGTATTCTCTGGATTGAGTCTCAGAATTGCTCATGAAATAGTTCTTCAGCCGGGTCGAGAGGGGCGCCCATGTACACGTCCCTTCGTGGACATGGCTTGGTGTTTGTTCTGAAATACAATGCTCGGGATCGATATAGCAGGTGTCTGTGTCTGCGCTACTTGGCGTCATGGGTACAGCAGCTACCAGACAATCATCGACAGTGGTGCCTAGGGTATTATTCAGAGACGGAACCTATCATCTAATTGTTATACGCACGACGTCGTTTATCAAGCTGCCCGGGCCCGCCAACTTCATTTCTTTTCTGGCCTTTACCGATTACCCATCTTTCATTGCTAATTATCATTAGAAACAGCGACACGCCGAGATAGCGAATGCGTTTATGCCTCCAAAACGGCGCAGAAGAGGCGCCCCAGGGGGTGGCGCCTGCCAGTCCGCGAGGTGTAGTGAAACGCGGGCCAAAGTCGCGGGCACGAGGGAAGCAAACCAAGCATGAGCCTCTAGCCACGGTTCTACAGACCAATGAGTGCGAACAAGCGGGCCAACGTCTTACCCTGCCGATCTTCCCACATTACCCTTACTTGACCACAAATTCCAAAGCCGCGTCCAAATCTTCCCATGGCATCACTAAGCCAAAGACCAGCAGCGAAGAGAATAAGCGCGTCGACGAAGTCAAGGCTCTCGTCCTGCAGGCCTATCGCAATCAAGTGAGGGGAGGCGGCCCCGCACGGGTCTGGCAGTCCGTCCAGCTGACGAAAAACAAAAACGCAATAGAGTAGGACCGAGATTTTTGAAACAGCTGTGGTAGTTAACTTTTTGTCCGACGCGGCTCAGCAAAGTATATGCTGAAGTCCTGTACGCGCTTTTTCAGTTGGTAAAGCTTGTTGCGGGAGTTCTGGATACGGTCTGGGTCTCCGAAGGCCTCTTCCAGGTATTCAAGCAGGTCAGGGTAGTCTACAAACTGATACAGAACTTTGCCCATGCCTGCTCAGTGCTTCTAATTCAAGTGCTTCGGAAGACGGCCGCCGAGTTCAGAGCGCTGTTCAAAACATATCACTATTGCCAGTTGCGGCTCTCTGCTAGCAGTTGGGGGATGAGCACACTCTGGTGGAGATTTCGTGCCAATTACATCTGGGGTATTTCCTGAAATTGACTTTGTAAGCACCGGATTTTTTGATTTTCTTATAGCTCTGATAGACCCTTATAATGGCAGTCGACAGGCATGGTTGCTATGGAAAATAGTTGTGTTTAATGATAAGGTAAATTTGTAGAAAACCTGAATATAAACTCAGTAAACATATTCATTAAATCTCTAGTTATAGAAAAACTTAGAGAAGACCCGTGCGTCGAGGATATCCTGCAACCTTCACAAAACTTCCCCCACTATACCCGTTGGCATAGAAACAAAAATAAGCACTTAATCTGTCGTGGAATTCCTGAGGTATTCGGCTGGAGGACAATCGGCGAATCGGAATATGTCTATATTGGTCCTGTCCCATGCGTGCGCTTAGCCGATGCATAGGGATTCTTTCTCTGCAGATAGTAAGGCGTCCATCTGTGACCAGCTTGGGAAGATACAGACGGAGCTCAAGACGTTGAAGCATCCATCGGGCACTTTTATTGATAAGCGATTCTGTCCACCTAAGAAAAGTACGGGTGACTACAATCCCTAAGCAGCACAAGGTCAGATTTCTAATTGAACTTCCGTTTTGCATCCAATGCAGGACCCCCTCACTGGAGGTGTACTCCACGATCGCTATCTACCGCAAACACAATTTTGGAATCTCAAGTGAATAAGGGCAGAGAGGGTTATTTATACCTTCACTGCATTGGAGGAAGGTCCTTTCGCCATGAATAAGTAGAAATGTTTCGAATAACAAGTGTAGTACTTTACCGTATATACCATTAGACTCACAATTAAAAATATCCTAAGCGTAATAAGGCACAGCAGCCTATAGCTATAATATTAGGTTTATTACTCCTTAATCAACTTAAATTATAGTAGAGCATTCTAAAGTTAAGATAACACCTCTGTATCTCTCCTATTAACATTAAATATGGCCCCGCTCATCTGGGGCAGTGGCAGTCCCACACAGATTCAGCGCCCGTAGATACGATCAACTTCATCAAAGCACTCGCAGAGGCTCGGAAGAAGGGTTTCAACTTCACTGCAATTACAGTGTTGCGAGGAAACCTAACAATGCAAAAGCTCGCCACACAAGTGAAGCAATCACACCCGAGTGTCTGGTCGCAGAGCCCCCATCCCAAGAAACCTCCCACCAGAACAATCTGCCATGCTTCTCAAACAATCGCCATCCATCGTCTAGGACTGCGGCCAAAGCATTCAAAGATAAGGCTCAGCCGACCTCAGTATTCAGTTTCAAGCCCAAAACAAGCTCTAACAACACTCCCGAGTACACAAACAACGAATATATTATACAATTCCCGACCCATTTTGACAATCCTGCCAGCAGATGTTTTATGCCTTCCCTTGATATTCATAGCGCAGTATCTGAAAGCAGCTTGCAGCAGGATAAAATCTCCGACTTCCTGGGCCTCAAATATCACTCGTCAGAAATTTCAAGCTTTGAACCCAGAGACACTTCTCACTGTGAGAAGCTTTTTTGCGCCATATTAAATCCGCGGAGCATTGAGCTGGATGGCTTTGACACGGGAGAGCACCTTATCCACACAATGGACCGGGTAGTCAAATCTGGGCAGGCCATCGATGATTTGACAGAGCTGCTCTGCTGCAGGACGTCCAGATTCCGTTGCCCATACCACTTTCAACGCGTAGGTCTTCGATTTGATCTCCACCTCTTGAACAGATAGGCCTGTGAGCCAATGCGTTCGCCGTTCTCTCCGATCCCACCGATGCAATCCCCCCAATGAATGCGTGCGGAGCGGTGCTTAAATGCCTGAAGCTTGGGGCCGTCGCAGGGTGGCAGCTCGGCAGAAGACATCAGGCGCCAGTTGTCCTCTACCACGTTTCTTGCCATGTCTGACGATATGTACAGAGGCCGAGGTATAATCTTACTAATAATCAAGGAGAGTGAGTGCTCAGTGATATAAAGCCAGCAAGAGATCCTGGTTGGTATGAGACAGTCCAAATTCAGAAGGGGATACCAGAAGAAACTGGATATTTGCGCACCCAAAACTGGATGCCGCGCACCATTTTCTGACCAAGCATGCAGCCCCATGTGCCTGAATTTATTGTTTTTCCAATTTTGTGAAGCACGTTCTTATCCAAGAAGGTGATACACAGCTCTTGATGGACAGCTGATAGGCAACCCAGCACCACCGAGCCGCGACTAGACGCCTTTAGCATCTCCACCTTCCGACGGGCTCTGCGGTTCTTCGATACAAGCGAGGAAGAAGGTGGTAGCTGCTTGGTCCGTCACTGCGAGATCCCAGTCCATTCCTACCAACTTTACCGGGCTTACTGCATGTTTATGTTTAATCTACAACACGAATATGCCCGGTTCGGCGTGTGCAAAAAGAAACGGCCGATCGGGGATTCGAATCCCGGTCCTGCGGTGCTGCCGCTTTCTCGTTCACACCACCAACGATGTGAATGACAAGGCAGCAGCTCCACTGTGCTACCACTGCGCCAACCAGCCAGTGGAAACGAGGGCATCGTGATTGCCCAAATAGACAAGGCGTTCTGTTTTTCCTAGGCTGATGCAGTTAATGTTCCCACCAGTCTCGAGCAGGCTGCGTGACCGCCGCCGGATCCACGCTGCCGATCATAACCCTTATTTTACCTTTCCCCATTAACAAGCCTGAGGCTCATCGTGTCGAAGAGATGCCATTTGTCTCTGACGTGATGTTTCACGAAGAAGCAAGGCGAGGATCTTCTTGTGTTTGAACACCACACTTCGACGCCGTCTCGCTGGCGACCTCAGCCATCACCAAGCCGCTGAGCCTCAAAGGCTTCTTTCTGACTATCAGGAGGACCAATTGGCTCAGTTTGTCATTAACCAGATTGACGACGACAAGAATATGTTGTCGTTGAGGAAAGATCTCCACCATCTCTTTGACAACAGATATTTCATCATAGTTCCAAAGCGCCAGGGGTCCAAATTGTCTGTACAGCACGTCGTTCATATCCTTAAGGCATCTAATGGCAACAACAACCATCTTCACAACTGCTGGCACAACCGACTATTGCAGCCACCCTGTGATCTTCCCGGGCTTGGGGTTGAGTTCCTCTTCGCACGTTTTACATAGGCGATTCTATGCAACAAGAGCTTTCCATTTCTCAAAGCGACCCAGTTTACCTACACAATCTCTGTCTTGGAGCAACCACAGGCAAGTACAAGATTGAGCATACTAAGAGCAAGATGGTAAAGCCTATCCTCTTTGCATCAGTATCACGCACTAGGAGTGTAAGTCCATAAAAGAGGAAGCTGAGCAAAGTAACAAATAGTAATCTAGGTACTGAGGACGACATCGACGATAACGGTAATAACGGCAATGACGATGGCCGTGACGACAAATGTTGTGGTCGCACTCAATGGCAAGCAGTCTCCTACAATACATACAGTGCTCCTAATATACTTTTACCCTACTCACGCCTATCCTTAGCCGAATCAAGCGATAACCTCAAGAAGCAGGCGCGCGCTGGGTCAATAGGCCGCCGCGTAAATTACTTGCCCCCCGCCGATGTTATTCCTGCCATTACCGTTGAGGGAGGCCGCGAATGTATTAGCAAGCACGAGACCTCGGGCGTTATGCCATCCAACAAGAGGCTGCGGATAGCCTGAGTTATTGACGTCCTTGTATTAAATGGGCTTTGTTTAGTACGTATAGTGATATTGCGTTAACGATGGGTTGGGTTGAATGTCTATTGCATTCTGATGATAACTAGCTATCTGCTTCCTGAGTCAGGACATCCCTCGAGCAAAAACTCCAAATAATCAACTAAACCGTGTTTCTGTGCGTAGAATAAGATATTGTGCTTGCCCAGTACTGTACAGTAGAAGGCGAATTGAATGTCGCTTAATTTTTAGTTAACTTTTTTAAGCGGGGTTTATTTTCGGACACATGTGGCTTTGCACCTCTGCTACGTTGTACTCCCAAAGTACCCTTACTAAATTGTTATAACAGAGAAGTGTCACGGCGCAGGACCGCGATAGGCTAACTTATAGGCCAGGCAAATGGGAGAGGCCGGGCGGTGTAAGGAGGCAGGAACAGAGTCACGCGACTGGATCACCGGGAACGGATGATGGCCCAAGAGATCCAGTATCGGCCAGATCGAGGAGCGATTTGAGAGATCCCCTAACTCCGTAAGTGTATATAGACGGACCTCGAGGCCTGGCCTCGAGGGCCCTGGGGATTGACTTCCCCAGTAGTCAATCTAAGTTCTTTCCCACCCTACGCTTGTTATCCTTGGTATTGCTCCGTGCCTAGCACTACACCTCTCTGATAACATAAACCCACGTGACCTACGACAGAGGGACCGTAACAAGAAGCAGCAGGGATTGAAACCATCGTCGCACCCAGATTTGGTTCAGCCGTGCTACCTACGATAGCAACTGAATCATTCAGCCCTACCAGGGTCCGCATTTGGTAGCGAATGGTGTTGCTAAGCCAGCATTAAATAACCGGCCAACGCCCCAGTCGAATACATCTTTGCCCTCATATTTTTGGATCAAGGCGTTTGGAGAAGCTGTGGTTTGCCTAGGTCATACAGTAATAGACGAACTGGTGTCGCAGAGTCTGATAGTTAATTGTTTTAAGCGGGGTCTACTTGGCACTCGTGGCTTTGTACCCTGCCCGCTTCCACGAATTCTTCGTCGATGCTATCCCGAAGTATCACCATGTTTGTGGCGATTGTTCTGACATCTTAACCTGCATCTAGCACATTCTAGTCGAGAGGTTTTGCTAACCAAACTCATCATACAACGCTGCACTCTGAGAGCCCCAAGTGGCCATAGAGGCTGCCTCAGATATACTCAATGCTCCACTCACAAGGCTAACGTTCACCTCTGTCTCATTACGAGCCATTTCTTTCTTTGCGGTAGAAACGCTCCGCAAAGTTTGATACATTTCCATGTCTTTTTTGTCCCTCAAAGCGCCACAGACTCGTATGAGTCCGTCCAAGACCAAACTCCCCGACTCCAACTGCCCTTTCGTAGATTGATGAATACTCCAAGCACATTCGAATTGCAATCTTGCCATCGCGAGCTGGCCGTGCATTTCATAGCTCTCTCCAAGGCAGCGATGTGCAGTCTCCGCGTCGCGAGAGACCAAGCCGTGATGCAGCTTGGCTAGGCGAAGAAACTCCGCATCGTACTTGATTGACTCGGCCCGTCGCTGGTTAAAGTAGAAGCAAGCGAGGTCCTGCACGCGCGAGATACACTCGATAGCGTCCCGGCCGTGGCGTCGGACCTGCCAGTCGTGCAGCTTCAGGTACAGCATCTCGGCCTCGCCTTTCAGGCCGGACTCTGAGTACACAAACGCTAGGTTGCACAGCACCTTCTGCGCACTTGGGATGTCGTAGACCCTGGCTTCTGCTTCCTCCTTGATCGTCTCGAGGTGGACCCGACGCCTATGCAAATCGCGCACCTGCCATTGTAGGCAGCGGTCGATGTTATCAAAGGCGATCCAAGCAGGGCAGTAGAAGACGCAGAGGCCGGCAGCACGGGCTGTAGCCAGTGCGCTCTGACCGAGCTTGATACGTTCCTCCTGGTCTACGTGCTGGCAAGCCTGTAGGATCTGTACGGTGACAATCCAGTAAGGGTTTTGTAAGCGGCGAAAGCCTTCCTGTGCCTCGAGCAGGATCTTGTTCGCTTCGGAGCTCCGCGACAGATTGGCTAGCATGGAGGCTTTCTCGTACAGAAGTGCGTAATATGACACATGTAGTTCGGGGTTTGACTCGAGTGCGTGCATAATCGAGTCCTCGATGAGGGCCAAAGCCTCTCTTGGCTTGCCTCCCACGCTGAGTAGCCTCGCGATATCACCTGTCGGATGATATACCTGGGCATAGCGCAGCGAGTCCATGTCGCACTCCCAGAGTTCAGCTGCCAACTCCAGGTCCATCTTGTTCGACTGATCGTACCAGAAAGGTCGGAGCAGGTGACCGCGCCCAAGTAGTCGCGGGCAGAGAACGTTCGCGTGGACAACGAGCCTCTGCTGGCTCTCTGCCCAGTAAAGCGGCTCATACGTGACGGGGCAGGCCCACGCGATGGCCGCAGCGGCGACATTGAGCAGTTCCGCCTCTGTTTCATGTGCTTCGTATGTGCACAGCCAGTCGAATACGACCCTGTGCATGGAATATACACCGCTACTATTCGTTTTGTCAATTAGCGACAAGTCCAGCAGGATCTTGACAATGGTGTAGAAGTCTAGTTTAGACTCGAAAATTTTTGAGACCCAAGCTGGGGGATTGTTGACCAGCTTTCCAAGCCTCAGAAGTTCGTAGTCGAGATCTTTAGGATCAAAATATGCGAACAGATGGAGCAATCGGTACGCACACCTATGCGGTCCTGTCTCGGGTTCGTCGATCATGCGCTGTTTTAGGATGTTGACGGACGTGATCCACGTTGTGCGTATGCTTGCGCGCTCTGGATCATTGGGCATAGCCTCTGGTAATAGCATATCGATGACCTTTCGCTTTGAGGATTTGTATAACTCAAGGTACTCTTCAGCCTCTATCCCTAGTGACTTCATGAGCTTCCCAGCCTGGGAGATGGCTAGAGGCAAGCCACCGAGATCCTCGACGAGATTGAGTCTTGCTGCGGTTTTAGTGTCTGCTCTATTGCCGGAGTAGGCTGTGGCCTTCGCTGCACTCTCCATCGTCGATGTCCCGGTGAGAAGTTCAATGGATTGCACTGCATCCAGTTCCCCAAGCCGCTTCACCATCGCTGCCACGGGAAGGCATGCCAGTCGGGACGTAACGATGATGGAGCCACAGTCCTTGGCTGGAAAGAAGGTGTCCAAAACGAAGCCTCCAAGGTCGGTCGACTCAAGGTCTACATTATCGTAGATTAACAACCACCTGTCGTTTCCTTCCAGCGAAAACCACTCCAAGGCTTTGGCTGTAATTTCGTCCGACGTCGAGTTTTCAATGTTGTCTGTTTTGGATTGCCATTTTGCACCACCGATATCGTTGATGGCGACTCGCTGAAAGACCCTAATGAAACTCTGGAGCAAAGCATCCCTGCTCGAGCCGTCGACAAAGAAAATGGACGAGAAGGTTGTCTGGTGGCGCCGGGCAAACTCAACAGCAAGTTGTGTCTTGCCCATTCCGCCGAGGCCGCATACGACGAAGACCTTTCGGCGCGGTTGTTTCGGGTTTGGAAGCAGGCACAGCTCCATGTCAGCGATATATTCGTGACGACCCACAAAGCGGTTGACCAGTGGTACCTTCTCAAGGTAGAACCCGTGGTTGAAGCCATCCTTCCAGATCGAGCGTTTGTGCTGTCCGCGAATGGGTAGAGTCGTGGTATGAGCAACGATAGCATCGCCGCGGCTCACAGCGTCGTCAATCTCTTTTCTAAGCCGACGCACTGCGTGTGCCTTCCCCTCGCCATATATAAGTGGCATGAAAATCCCGAAGATGCCTAGGAGACAGTATGCCCAGTCCTCCTCGTGCGTGGTCTGCCGTGTCTCAGCC